CGATCAGCCGCTCGACTCTCGATAAGTCCTGTATCAGCGTCAAGGCAGCTTTGCAAATGGCACCTGCGGCAAGCTGGTGCCGAATGACGAGCTTTATAGCATGCAACGGAAGTCTGGTTGATGGCTTGGCCATGCTGGGCCGCTACCTTCCCGTAGTTGTTATTGTTCCGATAATTGAAATAGTGTTTCAGGTTTGCTTTCAAATTGGTTTGCACGGCAGCTACACATTCTTCAACTCACTCATCCAGAATGATCACCTGTCAGCTGACGTGTTGCGAGTCGCATCGAGTTGCGGAGGTCAGTCTGAAGCCATCCTGCGGCACCTCAACTTGGAAGCTGACCATGACAAATGAACGGCTTCAGCGTCATGCAGGGGGGGACGTACTTCAATCTTCAAGGGTCGTGATCTGATCAACAGGCAGCCTGGCAAGCCCGAAGTGTGCGAAAACATCGGTTTCGCTCATGTAACCCTTTGTTGGAGGTTGGACCCCCTGGTTCTTGAGGGAGTTGTTGGGGTGTCCACCCCCCAAACCACCTATTCGACTCCAAACCACCAGAAAAAACCTCTTAAGTCACCGCGAAGGAAGGGAGACCGGAAGCAGATCCTCTGAGCATGGGTCGCTCCTAGCTACCACGTTATTGCGCCTTTCCCAATGGGAAAACGGAACAACCATTTTTATTTTATTTATCTATTGTTTGTTTATTCTTCTTTTCTTTTCTTTTTTTTTTGGGGGGGGCGGGGCATGTTTCTTTCTTCTCTTTCCTTTTTTTTTTGGGGGAGGGGGGCGGCGAGAAAGACACGTGTAAACCACATGAAGCTTTTGCATAGCCCTTGAACAGTGATCCACACCACAAGGCCTTGCTCAAGCGCCCGTTGGACCCGTTGCCGTTTCTTCTAACTTTTAAGGACTTACCCGGTTCTGGGCGCTCACTTGACGAATTTGGTAGAACAATCCCGGCGAGGCTGCCGCCCTTTTGTGGCCCTTTTGGTAGCGGGTTCTGTAAGTTCAGACTGCTTAAAAGCCACTAGTTGCACGAGTTGAACTCGTGAGGAGCGTCTGGGTATATAAGCTCTGCGGCACCCCAGAAGTCTAAAGATCCCCGCGCCTATCAACAGCGTCTTGTCCGGCCCCTTGGCCGCATCAATGCATCGCTGCACGATCCTCGCGCACAGAAAAAACACACACACACACCCACCCGCAGAACCCCCGCAGAACGCGCGGTTCCGAAGCCATCGCCATGGGTTTGTTTGAGGCCACTCGGTTTGGAGTGGTTTCCCTGTTTTGTCGGACATTAAAGGGAACCCTTTTTGGCCCAAGATTGAGGCAACTTTCTCGCTTTGCCTTGTACCCATTTCGTCTGAGCAAAACCTCCCTCCCTTTGGGGAAATATTATGTTCCTTTTGGAAAGGGAGGTTACAGCTGGCCGGATTGTTTGGAAAAGGATGTTCAATTTGCATGGATGCCATTTCTTGAACCCTGTGACCTTTTAGGAAAAACATGGACAAAACAACAGCTTGGACAAAACAACAACAATGTTTGAACAACCCTCCCCACCAAGTCCTCTTGTGCTACTGCTGGGACAAACGGGCTTCCCAGTAGATAAGTTACGGACTTACCAGGCGGGGGGGGCAACTGAAACGGTATCTTCGAATCACAGAAGCTAAAAAAATGATCTACTTGCCACCCAATCACCCAGAACATACTTACTCCCACGGCCCCTGGACATCGTTGGAACCGAATCTGTCGACAAAACGACGTCTCCTGCACCCGTGTTTGTGAGAGGCGACCTCCTCCATCTCTTTGGAAACCGCCCTGGCCGTCAGATTTCGGACCCCAAACGGCTCCAAGTAGAAAAAACACCCAGCCTCAGCGGGCACGTCTCCGAACTTGCTCTGGAGACGCCCCAAAAAGGGGGAATTCTTGAATGCTTTGCCTGGAGTCTTACGTATGGGTCCTTTCTTGGTGGTTTCGAAGGGAAACCAAGAGGAAAGCAGCCATTTTGGAAAACAGCCATTTTGGGGGGTCCCCTAAAACAAAACGTCCCTGTTAAAGTTTCAGAGGTGCTCACTTGTGATCGACTTGCACTGCAGGAATCCTGTACTTGTGGGCCAGAAGCTTAAGCCCGGCGAATCCCTCGGATTGCAGCAGTGGCTCAAGATGTTCCTGGTGAACAAGGCAAACACCACCACCACTCCGTTGGCACTGGCACATGTTTGAGTGTGACGCTTTCATGAATTGGACTTCTGCTAGCTGATGTCGTAACGCCTTGGCCGTGGAATGCTCCCTGAGCTCTGGGGTCAGCTACACCGCTTTGAGCACAGCCATTTGCAAAAAAAAAAAGGCCGTGACGGCACAACGCAAAGACCAGTGCCCCCCCCTTTCCCCCATGCCGTCCCGGTCATACAGAGCAGAGTCTGCCCTTCTCAAGTGGATGTTGACAGATCACCAAACGACATTGAGACGTCCCCCCGATCAAACCGCAGGTCGAAAAGAACCATTCCTCCAATTCCCTGAGTCAAAAGGTACCAACAAGGACACACCAAAGAAGTGGCGTCCTTAGACCATCGAGTGGATTGGCCAAAGTCTGAACTTTGTATTATGTAATATAGAAGGATCTTCCCAAAAAGATTCGAGTCCAGGAATTCATGGAGTGAGACAAACAACACACACACACACACACAAATACACCACGCTCCAGTGCACACACGAGCCGGATCGAGCCGGAGTCTGGTTTTGGGGGCCACAACGCTCGAAAGACGCCCGCGCCTAAAGATGAAGACGTGCGCTTCGCTGGGCAACGACTCAGTGCGGCAAGGCCAACTGCTGGGAACCCTTCAGCTGGGTTGATGTCCTTTGTGTTTGCCCTCAAAAACATCCAAAATTAAAGGGATACCCGGATGTTCAGCAACTCCCCTATGATCATCCAATGTATATAAAGCGAATTCACACCTCCCTCCAGCACAATGTTAGAGAATCTACCCTAGTGGTCTCCACGGCTGGAAACAAAGAGGTTATCTCCGCAACCCACTCCGCCACTCGGACAACACTACAATCAAAACCATGAGCAACGTCAATTCCAAGAGCCATGCAGGCCATGCACAAGGAAACTTCACCGGCGCCCAGGAAGAAAACCAGCAGCGCCAGCCGAACATGGCAGATGGCATCTCGGTATGCGAGTCGCTCTGCCTGGCTGTGCATTCGCCGGATACTCCTTAGGGCCTGACTTCCAAGCACCGCTGCACCACGTGGTTCCCGTTTGGGTCCTGGGATGTGCGGGTGGTATATGTTTAACGCAAGCGAAACGCTAAGAACTAGTCAGAATAATGCCTCTGGACCAATGCACGAATTCTCCCACGTCCTCCCAAGTCAGGAAGACCAAACATTGACCTGCTCCTGACAAAAACCCTTTATGTGAGGTCAAGGCTAGCACGAAGTGAAGAAGGTTTAGGAACAGGTATGCTCCAGCACCCATGTTGGCGCGGGACAACCTGCAGACTTGATTCCCTGTGATGAGCCAACCACAATCCTCGACACACCCTGCTGCCTTGGATAAACATGATGCCAAGCAACCAGCCAGCCAGCCAGCCCGCCCCGGCAGGAAATGGAACCCCCACTACACCTTGCAAACCCAAGAAAATGGCTGGGAACCGCCAAGTTAATCATGCCCACAAATCACCAGGAGAGAAGTGTCCCCTTACAAATCACCAAGTTTCCCCTCAACCCACCCACCCACCTGCCGCCCACCCAGCCAACCCTTATTTTTCCCTTTGGTCTCCCTTTGGCGTCCTTTTGCCCCTCCCTCGCTCCCGACTCCTTGGTGAGCGCAACTACTGCCGGATCCAGGGCAGCCTGGCGCAATGACATAAGCTGAGACCCTGACCAATTCAATGGCTGTGGGTCATAGGTACCCAAAATGGAACCCCTGTCCTGTGGCTTGGATTTGGTTGATTTTGGGTCTGTGAATTTTGGGACCTCAAAATGATATGGCTTCCTCTTGGTTTCCCTTTGAACCAAAGGCTAGGCTCAATGGGCGCCCGTCGTCGGAACCAGTTGCTTGATGGTTGGCCCGTTCCAATCTCCACCCTCGGTTTACACTGGATTTCATAAAGGGTAGTTTTAACATCATCTTTTGAATTGCTAGTTTAATTGGTACGTCTCTGTGTGGGGTCGTGTGTTTCGGTTATGCATGAGGAAGGCAAACACCTTCCAACTATGACTTGAATCAGAGAGTCCATCAACGTGAATCCGGCTTGAGGAAGGGCACACAACTTCTCAAAGAGCCCGCAGATTCCGAGGAATCAGGGCTTCCCAAAGAGTCCTTACTTCCTGAGAAATCGTGTGGATGACTTTGCAAAGGTTGGTCTTGCAACGTGTGTGTGCGGCCACTAAAACGTCACGATGCCCGTTCTCCAGATGTTACTCCTGCGCAGATGAGTGTGGCAACCCCGCCCAAAACTTCTCTGGGGACACTCCTTCGGGGAGCGGTCATTGTCACTTTTCGGAGGTTTAACGGGAGGTCAAATCAAAGAACGACCAAAATGCAGACAAGGCATTTATGCACGCAATGGACACGGGCGATTGCGCATGCCACATGAAGCGGTCTCAAGATGAGCGTGCCTGCTGGCTTCCATATCGACAAAATAAAGAATCTGCAATCTGAAGGTTTGGTTCCGCCAGACATAAAACATGAGAAGTGAGGTAGGTGGGGCCTTTCCGCCATCCCACAAAATGAAGGTAAGGGCAATGATGCGAAAACACGCTTCCTCCCTACTTGCTCGCCTTGCTGTGACAAATGACATGAACAATATTTCACAAAACACCCATGAGTGGTTGGTTCTGAAACCAGACATGGCAACATCGCAAAAACTGTCACACATCGGGCCACCATCGTAAAAAGCGGATGGGCGTGGTAAGCGGAGAAGGATACAGTGAGCATGACGTCTCAAAGCGCGAAGTCCCCGGTAAAAGCTCCGACTGCTGATTTTCCGTGGCTCCCTTTCAAAGATTTTCGAAGTTGGTCCCGCCCCACTGGCCAAGCATGCAAGGCGGCGCCACAAGGCGTTGCATGCACACTGGCACGATGCGCACCAGGTCGATGAGCTTCTGGCGAGCGTCGCTCGGCAAACAGAAAAAGCGTCGCTCGGCGCTGGCCCCAACGGGAAACAAACGAAAAGCCAAAAACAACCCGGCTGTGGGTCAACAAAAATACGTACCCAAAATGGAACCCCGATAAATGGAACCACAGACCAAAACCTCTTTTTCTTTTTCTGGCGGGTTGATTTTGACCCATACCCAGCCCTTCTTGGCCTTGTGGCCTCCAACCAGTTTCAAAGTGATGCCTGCGCCTATGGGAAGTCGTCTGAACTGGGCTGCCCGAAATTTCTGATCCCCCGCTAAAGGTGAACAACTTTGAGTGGGTTTAAATGGAAACTACCACTTAATTAACACTAAAAGGCGAAAAAAAGTTAAGGGGACGGCTGGGAGCCACCAACTCAACATGCACCCGGTCCGCCGGCCCCCAGTTCCCACATGCCACAGTGCTCATACACGTTGAGGCCGTGGCGGTTGTTGCAGCTGCTGCAGCCGTTGCAGCGGCAGTAGGAGTGGCAATGTAGCAACAGCAACAGCCGCGTTTGTAGCACAAAAGCAAACATCAGCGTGCAGCAAATGCGGCTGCTCCACCTGATGTTGAGTCGGTGGTTGTTGCTAACGGGGTGACTTGAGACTCTTGTTTGCAACACGTCGTAAAGAAGCAGCAGCAGCCGCATTAGCCAGAACACTGCAACCTGAGCCCGTGCCATTCCCACACGTGTTGCAACTCGCAACCGGGGTTGCTCCAACAACCCGCTTTCAGACAAAAGAAAATGGCTGGCAGCGCACAAAAGCGCCTCCTGCAACGTTCGCGGATCGCGCCTGCACAGCTCTAGCGCCGTGCATGTTCAGAGAGATGCTCACCAGGTGGCTGTGACAACACTCCACCAGGATCTGGCGGCAAGTGGCAAAGCAGCCGATTCCTCCGGGACCCAAATGGACCTGCAGTTGAAGGTAATTAACCATTTGGCTGGTTTCCCCTAAAAAACAACAAAACCAAATGGTTAATACTCATCCAACCATACTTGCCAACATCTGAATGATGGCTTTGTTGAATCCGGGCCGTAATCCCATGAGGGGGGATTGACAAACAAACACTGGTTCCACCCACAGTGTTTCGTCCCGGACCGTCTTTGGTGTTGAGGGGGGGGGCGACAGCTGAAGCTTGGCGCCTGTCGATCAGGGCTGGAAAACTTTTTATGTTCAATTTCGGTGAAGGCCAGCATAAAAACGCGAGTACCTACCGAGGTCCAATGCTTTTTTGGGACCAGTTTGGGCATCGAGTCCAACCACATCTTTTGGAAACAAAGAACTAGCACGCTGGTCACCACGGCTTTTTGGTTACTGTCGGGGAAAACAGTCTGGAATAGATTGAAAGTTCCTTTTCTCACCGGCCTCCCAATGCAACCTGGCAAATACAAACGACTACACAAGCTTTTGCCCAAACCACCAACGCCATCCCCCAATTTGACCAGCTAGGCTCTGCGTGTTAATAGCGAACCACCGTCACAAGTGTTTGGTGCACAGCGAACTCCCCACATGATGTCCGGTTGGTTCAATCCCAGGCTTCATTTCAATCCCTAGCTCGATGGATCCAGATCCAGTTTCAAGACATCCGATTTTTGGTACTGCACATGCCGTAGGTCCCAAACGTGGCTGAGGCACAACCCGGCGTGGCTCTACTTCCTGGCATACTAAGCAAGGGAACATGGGGTTGTTGGTACGAGCTTGGGGCAATCTTTCAATTGGCCAGTTTTGCTCAATGGGCAATACCCTCAGCATGGCGGCAGCACATAAACCCCTTTGTGCAGAATGTCCAAAGGGCCAGCGCGTCCCCGATTGAAATTCAGTCCCACCTTGACAAGGCGGCCAACCCCTACAAACATATTTTGCTTAAACCTGACTTGCTTCAAGTTATACTCGGTGACTCCATGTTTTTGTATAGTAGGTAACCAAGGGCTTGCCACCCTTACAAAACTCTGAAGTCGACTAATGGCGACTGGTTCCCTACTTAGGTTACCTATAGTGGCTTGCGGGAATCCACCGGGCAAAGGCTCTTAGGCTCTTGAAACCAATGCACCCTTTGTTAGCCCCCCACATCGGGGGCAAACCGATTTACCACCGCCGCAAAAATCGGGACATCGGGATCGGGTTTTACTCGTTTAGTTACGCGCGCCTCCAACTGCGCGGGGTTGGCCATCTCCATGATCTTCTGACAGAGGTAGTTCCTGAAATTGCGAGAGCTAGATGCCTCCCCTTTTTGTTGACCCCTACCAAAAGGAAACTTGATGTTACCATCCAAAACGGAATGTAAGAACACCTGCAAAATCTTAAACATCGCAGATGGACCCTCCCCAAATTGGTGGTTTGGAATCCCTTCAAAACCAGATCACAAAGGGTCGGATCATCAACCCTTAGGACAGTTTGGCTTCCGAAGTCAAGGTGACGAAGGGGTAAGGAGAACCAAAGGGTGAGCTCCGGCCGATCCGCTTTGGGCAAATGAGTCTGCGGCCCCTGAGAAAACCGCTGAGTTTCACTTGCCGCGACCGAGGCGCCCGAAGGGATCCATCATGAGCTCCACAGAGTGCACGACCACCTGCGAACGTTGGCAGGCCTGACTCCCCAACTCAACATGGAAACCCCGGAAAATCGGAGAAAAATATGGAAGCCACATGGAAACACACAGCCCAACTGTTGTTCGTTCTTTGAGGAATATTATCGGGACTTCTTTTTGGAGTTGCTTGTCGACCGGGGAAGTCATCCGGTGCTAAATTGGGGGGTCTTCCTGCAAAACCACACTCCCCCAAGAGAACCCAGAAATCATGGGACCTCTACAATGGGAAAACGGAAGGCTCAGCTCCGTCGATTCGGAGACAAGTGAGACATCGCCTGGTGATTCGCAGCGTGCTCCCAAGCTGAGCTGGGATTCGGTGACGCGCCACACAAACCCATAGAATTTATGCTCACCGGTGTCCTAAGCCGACTCTCAACAAACCTCTCAGCCTTCGCTACGGGACCCGGATCCCGTAGGCCACTGACCGCATCAACGAAATGCCGCGCCTCCTTGAAGACAATGGTAAAGACTTCTGGCCCCGCCTGGCAACAGGGAACTCCCGGAATCGGGCCCCCCACATTTTGAGCCACGAAACAACGGCCAAAGTCCCATGTTCGAAAAAGCCATGTCCAAAACCCCAAAACCAAAACGCAATGGCGGCCCTGGTTTCTGAACCCAGAGTCAGCCAATCTGCTCCAACCTAATGGGTCGCCAGCGCAAAAGGGGCATTTTTGAACACACACCCAATTGTAGGAACCATCCAGTGGACGGCTTTAGAATATGGCCCAAATATATTGCCCAAACACGTCGTAAACATTGACTGGACAATACAACTGTATATAGAAACACCTGCTTGGGAACTTGGGAGTTTGTCAAAACTAGTTGGACCCTTCTAGGCATTTTCTTAGGGCCCTGGACATCACATACCCCCTGCTGTCCGTTTGCCGACAAGAAGGGGGCTCCTTGCTTTTTAGATGCGCACCCCCCGTCCCTACGCGTGAAAGGGCATGTTGAAGGAAATCAGCAGGAAGCAAACTATTTGGCAGGGTCCCTGCTTTGTGACACATCCCCTCCAGGTTCCTCAACAACTGCAAGGCACACATTGAATCTTAGACCTGCCGAGAATGAAGTCGTGGCAATGCGGCAAGCATCAAACCAGTACATATTGCACAACATAATGTGTCCCATAAGCAGGGCCTGACCACATGCAGCACAACTACACATGCCGCTCCTTGTCGAATCTCCTCGATTGCAACACACACCGTGCCAAATTTCAGCGATAAAGCAAACAAAGCAACGATATTTTCTGTTGGACCGCCTCGTCCAGCTTGTGCTGCAGCATTCGGCAGCCAGCCTGGTGGGGCGTTCTCTCTCTCTCTCTCTCACTCTCTCTCTTCTCTAAGCGGTCTATACGTTCTCTGTCCGTGTCTGTCTCTGTGTGTGCCGCTTGTAAGCTACCTATCAATCGAGATTAATCATAAGCAGTCAACGCCGGTTGGGTCAACGCCGGTTGGGTCAACGCCGGTTGGGTCAACGCCGGTTGGGTCAACGCCGGTTGGGTCAACGCCGGTTGGGTCAACGCCGGTTGGGTCAACGCCGGTTGGGTCAACGCCGGTTGGGTCAACGCCGGTTGGGTCAACGCTGGTTGGGTCAACGCCGGTTTGTCTTTTTTGGGCAACCAGCTTCCCTTGGGTTCTCCTTCAAAAGGCCTGAACCCAAACTAAGAACCACATTGAGCAACATGCTTCATCTGTTTGCGTGCCTAAAGCCTAAAACTTATTGGGACCGCTTGGGCGAACTTTGGGAACCGTTGCCTCCACCATGCTCCACCTGAACCCACCAATGCTTGATGGTGCTTTAGCCTGTCCAAGGGAGCCGTTTGATTGGATTTCTGGTTCTGGGCCAAGGAGCCAAGCAAATTCAACATCCACCGCCCTCCGAGCGCTGGCCTGGTCCTTGGAAATGGCGTAGATGTTGCTGGTGTAGGTGTTGTTGGCAAACATCTCCTGGGCGCGTTTCTCATCTGGGGGTTGATCAATATTTCATTTAGGGCCTCCAAGTGACCATGGGAAAGTCATCGTTTTGGTGGCTTCCATGCATGACCTGCCTTGCACCACCTGAAGAAGCCAACCCCTCCCCCCCTTCTTCCTGTTGCTGGGGTGGAGATGGGGACGCGCGCCGATGTGCGCAAATTCAGAGGCTGGTGTTTAACGGCTTTCCAACACAAAGACATGGAAAGTGCTTGCAAAACGGCAAGCAGCACCACCAAAATGAAGAGTCTCGGGCGCCCATAACCTGTTAGTAGGCTATCGTCACCGGAATCCGGGATCCTGTCTTGGCCCAACACCTGCTGGGTGAATACCCTCCCTTGAACCCTGCTGCACTATGGAAGCTTGCCGCAGCGCCGATTTCTGACCAAACTGGTCTGAATCGTCCTATGACTAAGCGGCCGGTTGTCTCGATTTTCTAACACGAGCGTTGTCTTGAGGAGTCATTACTCCCTTGGCAAAGTCAGCGAGTGGTGGTGGCCAAAGAAACCTGCCGCATAGAAAACAACAGTAAGTGGACGATCTGCAATGACGAAATGTGATAGCGCCGTCATGACAAAACTCCACAATAAGCTCTGCGCCGAGAATGGTTCCAGGAATTGGTTCCGTCGTTGTTTGGATCAATAATTGTTGTGTTCATCTAGAGGTGCTACATTTGATTGTGCCCTTCAAATTTCTTCTGATGCTTATTCAGAGTGATTGGCTTAGAGACAATTGATGAATGGGGTTAGGGTTAAGGGATTGGGCTGGGTTAGGTTTGGGCCGGGTTGGGCTTAAGGCTTGGATTTAGGCCGGTTTCAGGTGTACGGTTAGCAAGGATTGAAGTTGCTTCGGGAGCCCCGCAGCTACTGCCGTAGATACTTGGGTTTTACGGGAGTCACAAATCAGAACCATATCCATCTCATCTGGTCTACCCACAGTTTATGGTAAAGAATTCGGCAAAGAACCCGCGGGCACCCCTGTTCCTCAAAACAGTGGCGAAGCACCAAAAATAAGATTGGCACCATCAGCCGCCAACAACTTTGGGACAGTTGGAAATTTGGCGATGGGTCAAAATCCCGTACCCCCAGTGAACATCCCAATCCCCACTAAAAAAGGCTAAAATGGGTAGTGCACCTACCAACCAAAATGGGATCCTTCGACCGAGCTTTGAACTACCCCGCCTCCAGCTGCGCGAGCTTAAAGGCGCTCCTGGCGAACCCAGTCGCGGTGGCTGGTCTGTTTTTTTTTCGGGGAACCCCCGAAATGGATTTTGGTCTTGTTGGTTTCCCTTTAAGCCAAGCCCCAAAAGATAGTCTTGGAATCATGGCACGTGTAATTCCTTGGCCGCTGAAACACTGCCACATCTGCCTTTGCTTTGGCCCACACAAAAAAGCAACAACTTGCAACAGAAAATGTGCAAATTGCCCGCAAGACGACGTATTTGATTCATGGTAGATTCCGAACAAACCTGCTTTCTAAGGGGTGAACTCCCTCCAAATCCGACCACACCTTTTGCGATCTTGAGAGGTCTAAGCCTTTTCTTTGTCTTGGCGGCGGCGGGGGGCTTCTGGCCATTTACATAATGTATGTCCAAGTTGTACTTTTGAAGTCTGACTCAAACTCTAGCCAGACTTGATGGCGGCTTTAACCCGTCGAACACATCACACATTGCAAAAGAAGCGTCTTGGGGCACACTCGGGGCTCCTTCCCAGCTCAAATAAACCAAATCGCTCTGCCCAACAGTCAATCCCTCCCTGGGTTTCAGAATCGGAGGATCGCCGCCCTGTCTAAGCATGATAGAAGACGGTATTAGCGCAAGATCCTTCGACATTATGGTACTGGCCACCGCCCTAACGTAATTTTCAACGCGCAAGGTTTCCGTGACATACACATTACGGCTGCAGCACACACACACAATATGTGCATATATATATTATGTGATTATGTTGTGTTGTATTACTTGTGTTCATATTATATTATATTATTTTATACTACATTACACTATATTACACTATATTATACTATAGTATATAATACTATAGTATATAATACTATATATATATAACATATACATATATATGTATATTAATATACGAATATATGCATGTATTCATATTGATGCGAAACTTCTCTCTGACACCCAAATTGATCAAATTGTGAAAGCATCAACGCTCACTTTTTCTCTATACACAAGATAGATAATGCTTGCAAAGCGGAATGGCAAACACTATCTACCAGGAGTCATCAGAGCGGACCACAATACGTGCCAAGGAACCTCCTAACAGAACATCACCAAGCAGAACCCACTGATTGGTACGAGATTTGGGGGTTGAGCAAAAGGGGCCATTTCTTAACTATGACTGTTGGTTTCAATGGGAGCCCTGTATGGACCAAACAGGTTCCTTGGTGTCCCCACCATGTCCGTTTCAACACAACGAATTTAGGGAACCCCCCACCCAAAAAACAGAAGACCGTTTTTTAACGTCTCTTTGCTTCATCCTGTCAGGAAGATCCTGGAGAAATTGGATCAAAGTTGCAAAACAAATATTGAACCACCCAAAAACGGAATGTATCATGTAAGGACCACATCTCATGTCGACCAAAGTTTGGGGTCGTACTCCTTCCGTTTTCGACCCCCCCCCCCCGGGAGTTCCGACTAACGAAAAAACCGGCCTCGCCGGCTTCCGGTCTGGCTCCGACCTGGCCACGTCTGCGAGGGTCCAAAGTCTTGCATCAAGTCGTACAGCAGCAATACGTCCACCCTGAAGGTGGTTTTTCTTGGCAGGTTTTTGCTTTTTGCTTCGTCAGTTGGTCGCCCGCTTGCTCAAAAACTAAAACCCATAATCCATATATGTCCACATGTAAGGCGGCCATCCTTTATGAACTTCGAACAATCCCAAGCGGTCCATCCCAACCTGGGGCCCCAAAACACTGCTTGTTTTTAGTCAATAAACTTTACCCGAAAAAAAGTGGTCATACGGCCAAATACGTGTTCTTTCGTGGTTTTTTTTTCAATATTTTATCGACAAAATACGGGTTTCATGCGGCCAAATACGGGCAACGAAGGCAAATGACCAAAAAAAAACAACCTTACGGGTAAAAACGGGCCAAATATGCCTTTTGACGAAAAGCAAGTGGTGTTTTGGGGCTCCAGGAAGGATTCCATCCAGCGACTGCCAACTCGCCGGCGCTGCTCGGTCTTCGCCAGGGCACCTTGGCCGCTGAAAATGGTACGTACCCGGCAGAATGCGACTCAACACTCGTGGGAAAATCCCTTACAAGAAGCTGGGCATGCTTGTCAAGCTCAAAGTGATGGGTATGTGCAATTGTTTTTGTTTTTTTTTGGTAGTGGGTTGACAGCATACTTAGGAAATGAATGCGCCAAGTGCCGAGTGGACTCGTTTGCTCAGCCTGAAGTTGTTGGGAAACGCTGTCTGGCAGTTGCATTTATGATTCTGACGGACCTTGCAAAGCCAAAGGGTCCAACTCCCACAGAGTCTTTCGGATTGAATCCGCGGGTGAGAGGCCTTGAACACAACCAAACTGTGGAGCGCGAGGAGATCTGATCGTTCAATAATTCGTTCAATACTCATGAAGCTGGCTCGAGTGAGAGTGGCATAACTTGTCATTTGGGCATACTTCAAAGTTGGAGACACCCTTTTCAAAGACTCCTCACCAGTAAGAAGATCCCCCGCAGAAATTAGTATAGCACCCAAAAGAAGATCCCTCTAAACCCGAAAGAGGCTACGGACCCTTCCACGATGGCTCTTGTTGGGTTGAAATGAGGCAAAATACCTCAATAGAAGATTCTCCCCGTTTTTTAAGATTCCACAGACCTGGCTGTTTCCTCGCTTCCGATTTCCTGTCAGGGATGACTGGATTTCCCCTGCAAGGTTGCAATTGGTGCGCTCCATCGAAACTGGCCATTGAGGGACCCCTCTAGATGGCCAAAAAGTCGCACAAACCCTTGTGCTTGCCATCCGACCGCACAGTGACTCGGCTCCGGGACTCCAATAAAACCTCAAGCGCTCTACATTGGCTTCCCGTGCACTGCCATGGGCAAACGGGGTCCGTTTTCCCTGCACAAGGTGCACAAAAGGAAATAATCCACTGGGCTGGAAGCAGTTCTTCCCTACACCACCAAAGCACTGGAAAACCCCAAATGGCTGCTTCCCTGAAAGCCATCCAAAAATAGCTCCCCCCCGCAAAACAAAAACAAATGTGCCATTCAAAAAAACAAAAAACGCCATGGTCATGGTGGTGGTCTCCTCACGAACCCCCCCTTTCGGAGATTCACGACACCGCTTGCAGCCACAGCACTTCGAAGCAACGGTACGCTGGATGCTCCAAGCAATTACAGGGGAGCCAGGAATTCCTCCTTGTTTTGACTTCCCATGGCTTTGTGGTTGAGCATGGTTGATCCCTTGGTTGGCATCCACTGTAACAGCCATGGTTTGAAGGGGTCTCCCGTGGGCAAATGGTTCAAAGAGACATCCCGTAGAAATCGGTCTTTGAAGCATCCCAAGTAAAAGAATAGGTCAAATTCACCCTAAACGGATCCGACCTGCGAAAAGCTGATCAACAAAAAAAAGGTTAAGATGTTGTTTTTTGTTTTTCCACATTTCTTCATCGTTGGGTCAACTAGTTGATCCAAAAGGTTAGACCAAAAAGAACAACCGAAACAACGGTCTCACATGGAGCAACGTCCGATAGAGGCCAGGACTGGCATCTGGCACCTCGGCCGGGAAACCAAGAGATGGATATATTGTTGTTGTTTTTTTTTGGGGGGGGAAGCTGCATGAAAGCCAGAAAGGACATAAGGTTCAGCAGGGCCTTTGCTCCAACAACCCAGATTTAATTGCCCTGCCAGCAACCCTCCAAGCCTGTGCAAACCATCCCTTTCAAACATAATGTGACAGGCATCAAACTCACAATGCAGGACAAATGCGTGCGGTCAGCAGCGAGTTTCTGGCAGTCAAATAGAGACTCGCCCTTGACAGTTGGTGGGAAAGGGAAAGCAAAGGTAAGCCCACAAAACGTGGACGTTTGGCATTCGATTTGGGTGTTTTCTAAAATAGGGAAAAGCAGTTCTTTCGTGTTTTCCTTTTGGTGTCTTCGGAAAGGACAGTCCTTTTCTAGTAAACATCCACAATAAGGACATTCAGGAGTTGTTGCAATCCACCTACGCCAAGCCAAGGGTTCCCTATGCAGGCAGTCTTCACCCTTGCGAATCTCCCTTCAATTTGTACTATCAGGCATGATTCGTCGTTTGACCCACTTATCGGGTTGAGGGAAATTCCCAATTTAGGGGCGATGAAAAATATCATTAAACCCTATGAATAACTACTGTCGGTCACAGGAAGAAGGAACGTGAACATCCCTCAAAGGGCAACGGAAGCCAGCAAATCCAGCCCCTGCAGCTCTGGCAGGAAAATCATCACATGATTCGCCAACACTTGCCGATATTGATCAGTGACATGAACAAGAAAAGGCGACAAACAAAACTATTGACACATACCCGTGTTCTCACAAATCATTTTGGCAGCTTTTCGAGATGATCTGATTTGGCCACTTGGCCAAGTCGAGTTAGGATGCCAAAGCCAAATTTGTGCACACCCAGGGGAAAATGGTTGATACAAACTCAATTGAGATTTGCCGAGCTTGAGAATGCAACTGTACGGGGCCCAACCCCAACCCACTTGGCAAGTTCATCTCCCCGAAGATTACGCGACCCATCGATGGGCGCAAAACCGACATCATCACCATGAAATGGAGCGTCCCGCAAAAAACCTGAATCGTCTTCACAATGTTATCGTCGCTGAAGGACATGTGGTACCGATCCAAAGGTTCAATTGTTTCCACATAGGCAGTTGCATCCAAATAGAACCGAGGCTGCGGCTCGCGCGGGCGCTTTGGGCCTCGTTCTGATTCTCAAGTAGATGGGCCCAAAAAAAAAAAAGCTTTTTCCCCAGACAGCTGAAAGCTATAGGGGTTCTAATAGAAAGTGATTTGCAAGATTGACGGCAGGGTGCCAGGGGGCATGCAGTTTGGGGTGCTGGGCAAGTGCTGTTTGAGGTGCTGGTGACGGTGCGAGCGCATGTTTGCGACATTAACGGTTGGGTGCTAGCGGCATGCAGTTTGGGGTGCTGTTGCAGGTGCTGTTTGAGGCGCTGACGATGCTGCTTGACCTGCACATTTGCGCAGCCAATGTTTTGCAGACCAAACGTCGGGAGCAGCGTGCAAACCTCGACTGTTTTCCGCTATTTGCGTCTATGCTGGTGTAATTGGTTTACCACTAAAATGGCCCAACCGAAAAGTGATGAAAAAGTCCAAAACCAAACTCAGGTGAGGTTTCAATGATACGCGAAATATGAGGCTGAATATCTGGTTGATTTTGTGGATAAATAAATTAACCCCCTTTTTCTCAGGGAGTCAGAAGCCACTTTTGGAAGGGCCCCCACCTCCTATTCCTAAGCCTTACTTGTTTGATCTCCCAACATTAGGCGTAAGGTGTCATGAGCACTGGCCACATCCCCACCTCACGGCAGTGCTACACTCCGAAGCCAATCCAAGGTTGGCGTATTCTGAGACAAACTCCATACTCTCCAGTGGGAATTCATTTCACCAAAATCTGCGTCCAGCACATCCGAAGCACCCGTACGGATATGCATAACCATATCCTGGGGAAACAACCGCACCCTCCCCGCCCGCAAAAACAAAAACAACAACTTACAGTAACACCTGAGCGTGTGGCGCTGGCATTGGCCTGAGCGACAGGAACTGGAGCTGAGGAATCTCACTGGTGAAAAGCATGGGTTTGAAGTGAAAACAGGCAGCTGTAGGGGCGGCCTTTGTTTGGGAAGCACCCGCAGTTGTCAGAACGGATGCCAGGGAAAGGGGTCTACTATGGAGCGGCGTTATTTGCTCTTGCTGAGCTCGGTGTGTCAGCCAAGACATCGTGACGTTCGGATGGTGTCCCTGACATCGCTGGCTCCAAAACCGAACTCCCGACCACAGTTTGGCACGGGCTCAAAAAAGAACCCAAAACGAGGCGTCGAAAGGAAAGCCAAGAGGAACCAAACTATTCTGTAGTGAGTAACAAGCAGTGGCCATACATTGTCCAATGGGTGCAGTTAGCACAAATCTAAGAAGATTGCCCTGGAAATGGGCGAGGTTTTATTCGGGCAAGCAGTGCGCCAATTAATTGTTGCTTGCTATAGGCTGTTCAAAATATGCATTGAGACATACTGAGACCATGTACGATGTGTATCGTGTATCTACCCCCATCCAGGCACCAGGGTTGTTGCTGAGTTGTTGCCTATGGGTGTGTCTTGCTTTGAGCTTTCCCTCTGGTTGACGTGAATAGAAAACCGACAGGAAGCCTGTACGTTTGGGGTACACACTGCTTTGGGACGAGTTTTTGTCAGCAATATGACTGCCTCTAAAACAGAACGAGGTGTGGGGGGACAAAAGGTCGCATGTTACGTTGGAAAAAGCTTGCCACTGGACAAGTAGGATATCAGGAGCACGTTCTTGCGTTGCATTCTTCACGCCTGGCAATGCTTCGCGTCAATTCGGAGCCCGGGAAGTGATCCATGGGTCTTGGGGGACCCAACAGATTGCGGTCGTTCTTGTGGTTTCCCTTGATGGTTTCCCTTGAAAACAACAGAATAGGGGTACCCTCCAAAATGACGTGTCCATCCAAGTTCGGGAAGCGGCAGCGCTGGCTTTGCTACGAATCGCAATGAGGAAGCGCTCTCAAGAACGGAAAAAAACCCAACATGAACACGACGTCCCAAGTTGGACTCCGATACAGTTTCCTCCCATAGCCCGATAGTCCCGAGAAACAAACAGGAGGGGACCCATTTTGTTCCACCCCTGCACCGAATTGTGGCCTCCATTTATGACGTTTCAGTTATTGAGCCTCAAAAGCAGGTTGGGGATCGAAAAGAAAGTCTTCCCTGAGTTGGCTTCAAAGAGACCCGAGGCAACAGCCCGGTTGGCGCTTTTCAAGTTGAGAGACACTGCAACAATAAGCTCTGGATCCACAATACCTCTCCATGATGCTCTTAATTGCTCAGTTTGGGGAAGCCCAAACGGGGTTGTAATTAACTCGCCTGTCCAACTTCCCCTTTTCAAGCGACCCATGGTGGTCGAAAAAACAAGATCGATTCGGGCACTCTGTTGGTCTCACTTCCTGAACTGATCGGCCAAAAAAGAAGCCGCCGAGCTTTTCTTTACCGCCAAAATGCTCCAAACCTCCCCAAAAAAATGAGCAGACAACTCCAGGAGCTGCGTGGCTGACTTCAGAGGGAAGCTCCACACCAACAGCTCAGGGAGCCCACCTCCCCCCCCCCGTGCGGCAAGGGAGCGGGATGCCAATTCCCCTGGCACCTGCGCGGATTCGAGGCGAGTTTGCCCAAAGGGGAAAAAACCCTTGGAGGCAAACACTGGGCCATGTTGCGCGCGAAATGCGGGGCTCTGGTTGAAATCCAAACATCTCCCGGTGCCTTTCGGGAAATCGCAATGATTGTGGCTCTTCGGTTGCAATGTTGGAGCCCAGAGCTCTCTTGCTGCTTCGCCGCTAAGGCCGGAGCACCGGAAATTGATTTCCACGCCAAGTCCCACATGCACACATGTCCAAGAATCGTTCTTCAGCGTGATCAAGTGGATACCAATATACATTCGGTGGCAAGCATGGTAGCAAAGTCCGGAAGTGGCATCTCTATGAAGGGAACAAGGAGAGCAAGCACCAAGCCGCACCAGAAATATCCTTTTCGCACCACCGTTCAGAAACCCTGGTTTCTGATGATTCCACCGTAAATACCGACAAACCATGGTTTCAACCATGGGTTTCAAGATGGTGTGACATGGCTTTCGTCCATCCTCTGTATGAATCCAAAGGGGCACCAAAGGGTGAACATCGCTATGTGGATTTATATCCACCATCTTTCCTGTGAGCTGGCCCGCACTCAATGACCACTAGAGCATGGATTTGTAAGCCCCTGAATCTCCAATGTCACTTGGACATATATTTGACCGTGGCTCAAAAGGCGGGTGTGAATCTTAATGAGGGCCCATTATCCAAACACATAGCCATGTGTTAAGTCACTCATCGCCAGCAAGAAATACGCCGCTGGGCCAAAATGTGGACATATGAAAGGCCCTGTGAGCCAAACAAATAGACGGAAAATGCCTCCAATCCGCGATTCAGCATGTTTCCATCACTCCTGTCAAACCTCTGCTTGGCTTTCTTTAGCTCGGCCAAACCTCAGGCCAGACCCTTAGAAACATGATGCCGAGATATGTTTTTAGTGAACCTCCGTTTTGCGGAGACCCCAGTTTTGATTGGGCAACGCCGCGCGCGCAGCCGGGCCTCTTTGTGCTTGAGAAACCCGTGCCAGAGCCTGAGAACGTATGACTGCACGGTTCGGACGCAGCCGGATTTGATCCTGGGTTCGGTGTGACGGTTTGGCGTCTTGTGGGCAGAATATGGTGTACTTGTTGCATTGTATATATATATATATACTAATGTTCAGGGGTGGTTGCGGGTGGGGTTGGTTAAGGGTTGGCTGAGGGTTGGCTGAGGGTTGCTTGAGGGTTGACTGAGGGTTGGATAGTTTACACTGAGGCTGGAGTTAGCTGATGGCTGTGGATTGGTGGGGGGAGGTCTGCGCCAGCCCAAGCTGGCCCGTGGGAACCAACCCTGAACAAATCCGCACAAACTACCTACCCTGAACCCAACTCTGAATCAAACCAAAAACCCGCCCGGACACACGGGAGCCAAACCAAGAGAGAGAAAGAGAGAAACAACATGTTTCTCACTCACTCTCTCTCTCTCTCTCTTTCTCTCTCTCCTCTCTCTCTCCCGCACTCTCTCTCTCTCTCTCTCTCTCTCTCTCTCTCTCTCTCTCTCCCGCACTCTCTCTCTCTCTCTCTCTCTCTCTCCCCCTCCCCCCAAGGTCAGAAAAAATCAAATTGGTTTGGAAACAATGAAAAGTCAAGAAAAAGGGTCCAACCACAAACTCAGATCACTGGCCCAAAACTGCCCCGATCTCTGCGGGTCCGACACTCTCCCCGCCTCTACTCCTTCTCTGAGCTCTATTTCCGCCTCGTGGCCGGTCAATCCAGCAATTCACCATTCCCTCCTGAAAACACGAGAGCTTTCTTCAAAACAATTTCCATGGGTATACTTGAGCATGCGTCAAAAATATGGGAACCCCCCAAAACAGTGGTTGTTCGTGTGGTTGCCTTTTGAACAAACCTGAAAAGGATACCAGCTCCACTACACACTCACACGTAAAAACAAACAAAAACACAAACACAAACGCAAATACAGAGAGAAACACACACAAAGAACACGCAAAAACAGACAAACAGACAAACCCACACGCAAACACACACACACACAGAGAGATACACACACAGAGAGAGATACACACAGAGAGAGATACACACAGAGAGAGAGAGAGAGATACACACACAGAGACACACACACACAAACACACACGAACGCACTGAGACACACTGAGCAACACTGAGACATTCACAAACACACAGAGAGACGCAGAGACACACGCACAAACACACAAAGACACACAAAGACACACAAAGACACACACACACAAACACACAAAGACACACACACACACACACAGAGACACACCAGCACCACACACATGGTGCCCAAAAACACACCATCACGCCTTGTACATTGCTCCACAGTGTTTGACTTC